AGCCACCAGCGCAGTGATCAGACGATAACTGATCTGTACAATGAAAATAGCTTCATGAGCTGGAACAGTGTAGAGAGGGAAGACAAGACATTTATACAATAATGACAACCTGCCCTATTTACTAGAGGGCAAACAAACAAACGTGCTTGCCATTTCCAGCGCAAAGCCGGTTTTGCTCAAAACTGATCTGGCGGTGGGGGGAATGTGAATGTTTTGGGTGTGAAGTCTAGCTCCTATAATAGATAGGCCCAACCTAGTGACTCAGAGTTATTGAGATTTCAAGCTTGGCGTACAAAAAGGAGAGCGCTTTAGTGTTGTACAAGCCATGCACAGGGTCTAAAGTGAGTCGACGGAAGTTCATTCTGCGACCTGCAAATGAACTTCGTAACAGGTTTCTGCAAGAAAAGGCAATAAAGGAAGATAACATGAGACAGCATCGTGCGATGAAGTGACTTGTGCTTTTCCTTGTGTGACATAAATAATACTCCAATACTAAAGTCATGTCCTAAGCGGAAATGTTGAATGACATGAAAAGGCTAGACAAGACAAAATACAATTAGACTTTAAGTTCTTGCTTTCATATAGTGAGCTTTGCAATATAAATTAGTCTGTTGGTGAATGGACTATATAAATAGGCTCTGCCTTGCCTGGTTGGAAAAGCATGATTATGACCTTGTCTCAGCTCAGGAACTAGGACCCATATGATATCTGGTTGTTCAATAGGTTTGTCTAGATAAAACATTTAGATATGAACTATGAAGATATTCCTGCAGGGGCAGGTAATGAAACCCGCTTGGAACATGCTCTTGTTATGATGCCAGTTTGTTTCAGCCTTTATCCAATCTCATGTACAGGGACTGGTCATATCACAGGTTATTTGCATTACAATGGGGACAATTAGCAAGGTAGAGTGAATACACAAACTTGAAGAGGGGAGGGAGGTTTGCAGGAAAACTGAAATTTTCTGGGACTTCTAGTGTTAAAGCTCCGCCTAACAGGGGACTCCGCCAGGCGCTCCCAGTAGACCCTCACAATGCGTTTGGGCCTACCTTGTCTCACTGGAATCCTCCCACCATCGGTGCTAACTCACCACCAGATAGTATAATATAATATAATATAATATAATATAATATAATATATGTCCTGTATGAGGATACAGGGCAAAGGACACATCCGTTTGAGACTTAAGGTAAAACGTTCAGGAAGTGAGGGCACCATCAGGACTGGAGCCTGCATCTTAATTTTATTCAGCAGGGAACCTCACCCAGCCTGGACACTGAAAGGACTGACAGAGTGACTGCTGTCAATGTGTCTGCTAATTGTCTTAATGCTATTCTCTTGCCAATGAATAGCATTAAGATAATTAACAGACAGACTCAAAATGTAATGGTTTTCCCAATGTTTTATTTAGAAGTACAAAACCTGACAGCGTAGTCTAGTAATCAGAAATTAGGTGAGCAGATATCTGTACAAAAACAGAGCTTTCTCTGAATAACAATTGATCAAATTGTCCAATTGCCTTTGCAATAATCAAAAGGTGCCAAAAAGGAAAATAAAAAACAATAATACACACATAGTAAAGAAATCTGAGGGAAATTAACATAAAATCAAAACCTTATATATGGTGTTTCAAAAGATACTAAGTATCCGTATTACAGAATCTAAAAGAATATTTTGTTATGGTATACGGTATATGGTGTATAGAGATGGTGAAAACTTAGTTTTAGCCCAAAATAATTTGAAGAAAAAAATATATGAATCTTGGTCAGAAACATTGGAAATCTGACAAAATTCTTAAAGAAAACAGTGGTAAAAAGAGGTATGAGGATATTTAAATGTGAATTATATGTATAAATGTGATAAAATACCGGCTTTTAGAGTTACTGTTTTGTCATGTATTTTCCCTTTTCGAAAAGAAAGAAGCTCTCTCTTTTTTAATAGTTTAATTTTGTTTTGTTTTAGAATCTTATGACATTGTTAACACTGGTAAGATATACCCTCTGTCAAATTCCAGTTACTTGGTAATAAGTTCCTCATAAAAGAATCTGTTTTTATTGTACAAGAAAATTTTTAAAAACACAAACACAGGTCTTCACAAGTAATTTGAGTGATTTTTCAATGTGTCATTTTCAAACACAATGATGCGACAGAAGCTGTAATAAATGCTTTTCAGTTTCTTAAAAAAGCCAGCAAAATTTCCATTGTTGACATAAAACACAGAAAGAACATTGAAACAGCTTGAACAAGCTGTCTGGTTTTAGTTACATGTGGGTGTATTTCCTGGTTTTATATCCTCCCCCATCTAGCGCCACTTTCCCCCTCGCTCTCTTTTGTACATAGGGCCCTGATAATCTTTTGGGTAATTTTTTTTCTTTTTAAGATAAACTATCACAGGACGTTAATGGTTGTCGAAACAGGGAAACAGAATAACCTGAAATGTTAAACTTAATATTCAAACATGATATACCTAGCTGAAACACTAAATGGCCAAAAACATACAACCAAATGGTTGTTTGTGAATGTTTCTTTATTTTTTGCTTATTGTTTTCATTGAACAATAAAAGACTCTTCAGGGGCCAGAGATAGTTTTTCCTGTAATGTGATGACAAGAAGTCAGAAATTCTTTATTGAAACAAATGTCAATTTTTCACCTATCCCACCACCCTCTGCATATTTTCTACAGAAAAAAAAGGAAAAAACTATTAAGACTGCTAAACATAAATTTAGATCAGAATACAGGATTTAGAAAATTGACATTCCACACACATCCTACACATAGTGTAGTTGTCCAAAACACTTCGGAAAAAATATTTATTTTGATACTAAATATTTTTTCTTCAATGGCTTCAGAAACTTTTACTATATTATACTAGTTGCCCCTTTATTGGTCTGCTTTGGGCTTATTTTCTTTTTTTTTGTCCTGTGAGAGAAATATCTGTTGGAAGCCAACAGGTTTTGCTGGGAACCATTGAAATACACCCAATGCACACAGGAACCCCAAGGAATTTTGGGAAAGAGTCTTACATCTGAGAATTTTGAGTTTTCTCTCGAACATCGATATATCTGAACCATTCATTCATGCTTCTCTTTATCAAAATTGACTACCATATAGTGTAATGGTTTTATATGTAAACTTTATGTCCCAAAATTCCTTAGCGGCAAACAAATGGCTCCATAAAGCTTGTCAAATCCTTCCTTTACTGAACAAAAAGACAGCACAAAAAGGAGGTTTGAATACACAACAGTTAAAAGCAATAGCATAGAGTAAAAGAGGAAAGGGTTAGAAAATAATGAAGCAGTTCTACAAAGACATAAAAGAAGCAGCAATAAAAAAAAAGATCAGTGGAGTTCACAAATATTTTCTTGTTTTTTTTTTTTGCAAAGGCCACCAAACACACAATTCCACAACCTCCACTGGTTTCACAAAGACTGCAGATGGAGAAGGACAGTAGGAAGGAAAAAAAGACTAAATTAGTCAATTTTCGGGATTACAACAATCCAGCATTTCCTCAAACCCACACTACCTCTCCTTTGCCACAATAAAGATAGAGCACAGAGAAGACAAAGGACAAGAACAGTAGCTCACTATATACTTCACATTGTAAACACACACAGAAGGTGCCATGAAAATATTCTTGACAGCCTGTGACAATAAACACGTTGGTAATATGTTTTCACTGTTTAATCACACTAGGTAATAAGGATGATGTGATGTTAAAGATGGGGCTATCAACTTCAAAAGATGGGGCTATCAACTTAAAAAAACTTGGATGCTGTTATATTTAAAATGTGATTTAACAATTAATTTTTTTTTTCCTGTTTTGCCCAAAAAGTAGCATACAAGACTTCCAAATTAATGAGAATTATGGCGCTTTTTAGACAATAACATATTTTTTTCTGGTAACAAAAAGAAGACAACATGAAGAACAAAAAGAGAACAAACAAGATTAACAAAGACAAAGTTTTTCAACAAAAATTCTTCTTCTAAAAACAAAAATCATGCATTGTCACTTGCAGCAATTTGTTTTATGGAATGATTTTATTTAATGTCTTTATTCCATAATATCTCCTTGTAGATATAATATTCTCATAATAAGCTTTGATGAACAGGAACTGAGTAGCTGTCCAAAACACCTTAATTTTGAAGTTATTAAACTGGTTATCCTGTGTCAGGCTTACTACGATTAAAATCTAATTAAGATGAACAAAATATAAAAAAATGACAAAATTCATTTCTAAAAGAGGAAGAAAAACAAATTAAACACATTTAGAAAACTTTAATGACTCCCATATTGCTATGAAGAGTGGCTCCTTGTAGTTTAAACGGAATGATTTTGGCCAAAACATGGGAGATGACACTACACACACCTACATACATACATACATACATACATACATACATACATACATACATAC